ATGTAGTTAATGGCGACATAAAAAGTAAATGGGAGGCCGGAAGGCGAGTGGGATTTAAAATTGTTACTGGGGAGCCCCCCCATTGTCGGTCTTTAAACAGGAATCGAGATCCTTGGGGATAATTATCTCCATGATCCCTGTTCCACTCTCGGAATACTGATGACGATCATATTAGGCCTCCTAAATGTAACTTATCTAAAAGCAAGTGCATGTTCTTTTGTATTAATAGAACAATTATTTTTTAAATTCAAAATACTTACTACACTGTGTATTAGAAACTTAAAGACAAAAAATGTGAAGAAACTGTGAGACAAACGCTTGTACTGCAACTTTTGCTTCCTTGAAACTTTTTATTAATCTACAAGTCGGTACTTCATTCCTGGCTGAGAGAAGCTCCGAGACACAAAGAGAAAAAAATCACTCAGTAATTATACCGTTGCAAGGAAGGGTCTTCGATTGTTTATTGCCTCCTCCGCCGGATGTTTCTACTATTCTATTTATATTCCATGTTTCTTTTATGATTCGACTTGTCAAACATGCCGAAGAATGAACGGTTATTATGATAAGTAAGCGAGCAAACCGGAATCGAGGAATCTCCTTGTAATTCCAAATTCAATGTGAAATTTCTTAATCCGAGCGCTTCTGTCCGCGTTCAGAGAGCACAATGACATCTATTTACTGAAGTAGTGCATGTTGGAAAGCGTTTACTTTCCACTTCGTCGAGATTTACAGCCTCAAGTTGATCCGGCCGCGGTGTCTGGTGTCATCGAAGGCTTTCTAGTGAAACCCTCACGGAGCAAAGCGTCGGAGGCGGCCACTCGTGACCTCGCATTCATATCTGCCGAACTCGCGATGTAATGCGACACCACGAATTATGTCCTCGGATTTAATATTTGCAAAGGATCCTCGACTCTACGGTACTCTTAATGTTACTTAAATTCAAGTTCTACATTTTATTGCTATAAAGGATCTGTTTAAGTGCGATCGAACCAGTAAATGTATGTTTAAGTTCTTTTATCTGCATAGTTTGTGGTTATGAAGCAAAATTGTGTTAATCACACTATTTAGTGTCTAAACCGTTTAACAAAGAAAGCAAAAGTGTCCCGTAATTAGCAAATAGACGTGCGTTGCACACTTGTACAAAGTTATTACTCCCGTCACGCTTGATGTGTGATTGATAGACACATTGAGTTTGAGCCTTGGATGCACAAGCGAGCCAAGCTGTAGGTGAGTGGCCGACTTGCAATGTTAGCACGTCCCGGCTCTCTCACGATGCCGCCAGCCTGCGCTCGCGCAACTAGCGCACTTTCTCCTGCACGAATGCCCTATATCGCTCACTGTGACTTCAAAAAATACTCACACAACATTTAAATTAATTGCTTTCAATAATATTTCCTTTACATTTCATTTCCCGTCATTTTAAAACCAAACTTCGACGGCAATCTTAAATAAGGCGACAAAAATAAATTCGTATTCCAAAATATTCCCAGAGAAAGTCGAGTTGTTTTATCTTCCGTCCGTCGATTCTAAACATGGACAAGTGTAAACTATAATAACATAACTCCATGTTTGTTGTCCGACTCCGACGCGGTTGACACGGTGACAGTTATAACTTTAAAGATAAATTCGGAAAGGTCAACGAACTCAGGTGTGAATTCAAAAGATATGGATTCTATCTAGTGTGTGAAGTCGTTGCTATCGATATGGATTAGAAGATTATATTCTATGGTAAATGGACTGGCATAAAAGTGCTTTCTAAAAGCCATCAGGTATAGGATTTAAAGTTTACAAGCTCTCGTGAAACTTGGCAGCTGCTTACCTAGGAAGCGTGTGCACTTCCCCTTGCAACATAACAACCATAATTTAGTTCTGATGCATTTCATTATCTTTATTCGTAATGAATGTTCTAATAAGTCAAGTTTTACGCCGGGCTCGCATGTGAACACTTGCGCTTTCGCCCGATGCTATTAATTAACGATGTTATTCAACATGTGGTGCATTATTTCACGCTCCGCATGGCCGGCAGTGTTCCGGTGAGCGATGCAGCGCCGCCATGATACTCTGTAGGAGCCAGCCCTCACTTTACTTCCCAAGGCGAAATATCCACACGAATTTGACATTTTTAGATCTCGCCTGATGCTTGCAACACGCCGCTTTGAAATGCCGCGCCTGGGACGCGTGTCGAAACTCTGTTTACACTGTAACTTAAGCTAACCCTTTTACAAAAACTGTTTTCTTAAAACGTGGTGAAATATACTTCGTTCCACCACTTGAAAGCAAAAAGTTTAATTACTAAATCGGATTTTATAACGTAACACTATTATCTAAATCGATATTTATTTATAAATTTCTTGGGAGTTACCTTGTAATTTACCTTGTCGTCTCATAAGTTAGCAGTAAATTGCTTTCCTAAAATCGAACTTGCCCCGTAATAGTATTTGAGAGGAACGTTTCGGCGTCAACGTTGCCTTTTACGGTGTGCGAGATCGAATCCAGTGTTTTTTTATTGCAGATCTCATGCTGTAACGATGTGAGCACAATAATCGTAAAAGCTGGTCCCCTTCTCGAGTGCGCAAACTGTCCGCACAGTGATAAAGGAAAATGCATTACTTCCCCTGTGAGGGCGAACAGGGGGTTTTCCTTAAAACAGCCCTTCAAAATGGCGGCGCAAGTCATTAATGTTCGGCTCAGGAGGCCAAATTTTAAAAGTCCACTTCAAACTTAGTTATTACTGCTATGTGAGTGACTACAAGCTAAAAGCGCGGCTTTTGACATTTTTTTCTTCAAAGTGATAAAAACGGTGATCTTGTTTCTACTTTAAGTTTAACAAAAACGCCCATTTGTTAGGTATGTAGAGGTATAACGTCAGTAGGTATGTAATGTCAAAGTAAAATACAGCCACATACAGTAATTTTTGTAATAAAACAAAATGTGTTATAAATCATGCATATAACCTTTGCGTGTAAATTATTCATTTGCAATTTTAAACTTCCATAACTGCATTCGCAAGACTCTTTTACGTTTATTGTACTAAATACACACACGGCTCACATCTGTTACATGTCTAGATTGTCTAGCGTTACTTTTTTTATTAAAATAAACACATCGTTCATTCGTCGTATGCAAAAACGATGCCTAATGTGATATTTCGAGCGGTCATTGTCCTCTGACAATAGATTCTTTTATATCTTTATACGTATTTTGCATTCAGAAAGTAATATATTTAAACGATTCGATTCGGTTGCAATTACTTTGTGTCTGTAGTATTTTTGTTCTTGAGTGGACATTGCTGAATTCGTTTTACACAGTAGCTAAACGGTTTATTGACATTATGGTAGCGTATGGATATCCTTGCGTGGCACTACTAAGTAAATTTTATTCGTTTTTATATAATTGACTCCAATATATAATTTTATTTAGACTTTTTATACAGACACAATAGAAAGTGTAAAGCTTTATAAAACGCCTGAAGATTTATATGAAATAAAAGCTACGTAATACATCTTCAAATTGTTTTTTGGAGAAAATCAAAACAATAAATTGGGCACGATTTGTCCCGGCTGTTTCGCAAAGTTGCCGGTCGTATAATATGGCTGGCTCTTTGAGCGTCATACGTTTAGGGTTGGAGGTCGGGACTGCGGCAACAATGTCGCATCTACCATCCCGGTAGCCTCCCATTTTATCTACGTAAGTGTACCTACAATTCTCTTGATGTAACTTATTTCCACGTTCTATTTAACTTTTGCTTTATTCATAATGTTTTGCTCATTCATAACTTTATTGTCGACTCAGTTATGGTAATGTAACTTGTTCAATTTTAATGTTAGTAATAATATATTTAAAATGAATTCTTTAAAGAAGTGATAATTACAGAAACTATTGTGTTTTTAACATCTAAAGAGACTCGTTGAACAATAGTATCTTATATAAATTGTGTTAGCAGAAAAAATATCTTGTTATGAGCAGTAATGTTCTAATATTAAGTTTCTATTATTTATTAAATAGCTGCTTAGAAGTAAAATTGTCTCATATTACTTCATTTGTTCAGCGACCTTATCTCTCATGTTAACTAAGCTTGTCAATCGCAATATGCCTTTTAAGCCAAGGAAGGTGTGAACAACGTTCTTTCATAAAATATTTACCGTATGCCATAGTATTATGGAAAGGAAACATAAAAGAAGTTTTAGCGATGCGATCTCTTAAACAAACTCATTATTTATTGCTGTCCTACACGCCCTTGTTTTTCTTATTCAAGACTAACAGTTCAATAGCACGATTGCAAATAATTTACTCACATGATATATTATGGTAACTATTCAGTTACCTTTGTGCACTAATGTGCGCCATTGACAGGTGATTCATGTTAAAAAGCGAAACTAATACGACGGACACCGTGAAATTAAAAATAAACCAGTTTAACTTTTCCGCATCATTTGAAACGTGATCGCAATACAAGAAATCTATTGAAGAATGAATTATTGCACAGCAGCCTGGAGACGGTAAATATTGTTCAATTCAACGTATCGCGAATAATTGCATTTTATTACGAGACGCTACGCTGCGCTGCTACGACGACTGACAGCTACTGTCAAACGGCGTAGCAACGACTTCGATGAGCGTAAAGAAGACGTTTTTTTTTATTTATCGACCAAGTAGATATCTTCGTTGGAAAGCATTCTACGTACGATACGAACTCATAATAATATGGTACTAGTTCTGCCCGCGGCGTTGCTCGCTTTACACAAAAAAATTACCAGCTCTCTACGTCTCGGTCGGTTATTACAATTAGTTCTTTATACTCATCGGCTTCTGCAGTAAAATTGTTATTGCTACATTCCGATAATATTCATTGCAAGAAATTATACACCTGACTGAAACTATCTAGATGAATATGCAAGAGGAAATAAAAATATGGTAATGGATAAATCAAATCTGGTTTGAGTGTTCTAACTGGTAGACGTTTTGTTTCGTAATTACATACAGTTAGTTGCCAGATGTACCTGTGGTTTGGTGAAAATTGGTCGAGACGAGGGCTTCTCACCCCGGGGCGAGGTTGCTGTTGTCGGGGAGGCTTTCTCCGAGGGCGGGAGTGGGGAGGGCAGACGTGACAAGTTTTTATGATGAGGACAATCAGGACCTGTAGATGCCACGTCCCCGCCACGTGACGAGCTGGTTAGAGCCTCGATGAATACATGGCTTCTGTTTACAAACCAATGATAGACTACATCGCTTTGAAAGCATTCATTTTACCTCGTTATTTATAGAGGAAAAAATGGGTTCGTCGTTTGTAGACACATTCCGTAAATGTTTTTTCAAAAACATAATACAATAAATTTTTATAATATTTGTTGAACTATTTAAAAAATCACATCCATCAAATGATCAATAATGTTCTTAAATGAACAATTGCGTGCTACATTCTTCCCTGCGAAAGTAATTAACGGTACCTACCTACCTACATAGTGAGGTCATTGACCGGCCCTTACCTCGCCACGTGCCTGTTGATTTAATTTTTGTTACGTTATCATTTCAACGTCATAAAACCACCCTTCCACTAAATATATGCGCTATGAAACAAATGTTATATATATATGTATATCCTTCATTTGTTTATTGTGAAGAAACTCCCTTATATTGCTCCCAAAAGCCATTATGTGAGTGAATAATTCACACTTTATTTGTTAAGATTTGCTTTACCCATTTGCGTAGGAGGAGCTTTATTTGAAATTATGCTGACATCATTTTCTAAAGGTTAACATAGGTTTTTAAAGGCACTAAAGGTTTGAGTTGTGGGTTGCTAGCATTAAGGTAAAATCTACCACTACCTACGTAAGTCGGTAAACTTAAAATAGTTTAATAAATAATTTTACTGTCTGTCCATTATTCTTGTTGGATCGTAAGTACAGCTGTAAGATAGCGGCCCTGTTCTGAGTCATAAACGTTTTCATAATGAGACCATGCGCCGGCGCAGGGTACATGAAAGTGAACCAACACAGATTGTACTGGCCATGTGCACTACTCCCGCGGCATCATTGCAGCTGTCCGATTATCGCTGGCTACATGCCAGCTCATCTAATTACCGATTTATAGTTTTTATGGTTTATTTTGGGGCCAACAGACAATATTTTACATCATTTGTATCTTGGTTGTTCTTAATTGCATAAAGAAAATTTAAAATATTTTAAAATACTTACATAGTCCGTACAGAAGCACATATTTATCAAATTGAATAATGTAATCTATATCGGTTGACAAAGCTGGAAGTTCTGAAGAATTTTGTAACCACGTGGTTCAGAGGAAATAACAAAATTTATCCAAAAAGTCACTTTGAAAGTCGATTTATTCAACAGCAAGTAATTATTAGCAACTACGAAAGGTTGTCATAAAACGATCGAGCCAAAGAAATGCCAGCATAAATTAAAAGGCTACCAACATCGGACTGTGCTAACAAGAGCAGCGCTACAATAAAACTTGGCTTTTCAGTTCCGCGTTTTTGGAGGAAAATTTTGCCGTTTATCCTTGACACAGTTCTATTTAATAAACAGTACAAAGTATTACAAACCTATATATTTTTGTTTATATTGCCAGTTTGGTTTTCTTCTCAAGAAATAACTGTTTGTTTAGCGATTTGTTTTGGTTTTCCAATCCATTGTCGACAGATTAGTCTTGAGATCAGTATGTTTAAATCACTCGACACGTGTTTATCATCAATTAGCTATTTTGAATTTTGTTTTCCTCATATCTTTTACGTATATGAACCTGGATTATGTAAAAATAGAAGTAACCATGAGTAATATAATTATCGGTCGGCCGCGTACACTCCTCTGTGGCTCGGGGAATATTTTCATCGAATTAGGTCGTCTCATGTAATGTGAGATCGTAACAGGATCCTGCGCGTCATGCTCTATCGGCGGGGGTCGATCGTACAATTTTATTTGGCTACTCGGTGACTGATGACAGATATTGATGGGGTCCCATGTTACACGCAGGCTCCCTAGTAATATCGTTCGGCGATCGTACAGCCGTATGCCCACGGCCGCAGGAGCTAATGGGCTGGGAGTTTTATTTATATGACAGCTCCATAAAGAGAGGATCACGATAATACGATTGAAATTAATGGGCGTGTTCGACAACTAACTTTCCGTCAAGTTAATCAAACAAAATAAATCTTGCGTGTTTTCCTGTTCCGTCCTGAGTTCGTATTCGTAGCAAGTTTTGCGTTTATTAAATCAATCAACTTGAACTTTTTCGAATTACTTTAAATTAGTTTAACGAGTGAAGCCCTAACAAATTTGTATCGAATACCAAAAAGTTTATATTATGTGTTTTGGCTATAGCTACAGCTACGGTTAGTTATTAAATTATCAAAAATTGAAAGACATTTTGAAGTCAGCGGAAATGTAACAGCACAAAATTAAGGGCAGAAGTTGAAAGGGTAATAATGGAACAATTAAAGCTACCCGAAGCTCTTGAACACGGACGCAAGTGACGTAGCACAAAGGATCTGCTCGCGACACTGTCGAGAGGCTGAAGAATTGCACACAGTTTATTATTCTGTACACTTCACTACGTGGAAAGTGAAGACGGCTAGGAGTATTGAGGACTAGAGGAGTGCGTGCCGCGATCCCTTGGCGACCTCGTGGCCTCGGCGGATGTCGAGGCATTACTCGCCTCGGGGACTTCCACCCAGTACGAGCTCCTACTGCGCAGTACACAACAATAGACCATATACATACTTAATAAATATCTCATTATATATGTACATATGTCACGTATTATTCATTTGAATCGCAATTGTTTCTATAAATGAATTATTTAAAGCATATGATTACCTATCTTACTTAAGTATAGACAATAATTACGAAACCTACAAGTTGTGTACAGTAACAATAGAATATGAGATAAGACAAAGTACTTATATAAGTATATACATAAATAGATAAAATTGAACACATTACATTGGTATATGAGACTCCTACTTAAATGATTTATGAAGAATGGTTGAGGGCGATGTAATATCCTGTACTGTCACTCTTCATTGTACTTTCTCCACACCACTTTAAACTTAGGAGTAAATCAAATGACGAAATGTAACGTATCCATTGCTTTGTTTCAGATTTACTTCGAACGACCATTAAACTCTGAGCCAAGGTAAGCAAACAGCTATCGTAATTGTTTACAAAGAATGTTAACAATAAACTGCTAGGCCAGTATGTTCATAGATTGCAGAACGGCTGGCACGGTTCTAGAGCGCTCTCTCCCAACGCAGTTACTAAAGCGGCCGCTTTTGATAGTTTTTTCTCAAGTTTGGACCATTTATAAAACAACTCACTGGCAATTTAGCCTCGTTTCGCTTTTCCCGCTCACCATGCAAAACTAGGTTATAGTGAGATAATAGCTGCCCATCTCGTTTGTTTTGCTCCATTGTTAGCATTCTCAACCGCGCCCGATGCCCGTTACTGGCTATATTTTATTGAAAAACTCCTCGAAGTTAATAGGTGAACAATGTTCGGCTTTTTTGCTGTGAGTTGCGCAGCTAACGCTGTTTTGTTATTGCCTCTCTGTGTCCGCACTTCACAGTATGCCCGTAAACAAAAATTCAATGAAAATATCCGGGTATGGATAACTATCCGGGTATTGATAGCTAATAATACAAACATCCGTTCCGTAACAACGAACACGCGTGTAAATGAAAAGCAGGGAGTGAAATCTTTACACTGTTTCATCCTCAAATGTAAACATATACATTGATAAGTTGCACAATAATATACACCCTATATATATGTAGATAATGGATATGCCTTTTGCTGAATGAATAATTCATTGATGCATTTTAATATCAATAAAGGCAGCGTCGTCAACGTGTCATTTATTTAGTGACAAGAGAAATTAAATTGAAAAGGAAAGAGTTTTGGCGCACTAATTAAAGAGACGACAATGTTAAATTCTTGCATCTTAAAACAAAGCATCTTTTAGCAGGAATTTGAGTAACGCGACCGCCGCAGCTAAATGAAAGTTTGTTTGTAGTCCGGGTATGTTTGTCGCGAGACGAGAGCCGTTCTGCTGACTCCGCTGATTTAGGGGGAAACTTTTCTTGTTTTGCATTTTACTAGAGCGCGGGGAAAGTCGCCCCCGAGATTTGAATATTTTAGAAGTGGTGTAACTTCGCTAAGGTGTGTCCCTTTATGCGACTTCCAAGCGATTGCCTCGCATGCTTTCAAGGGTGGTAATTGAAACACACTTCTAAGAGTAAGTGCAAATAATAATTTAAAGAGAACATGTCTGTTATACAGAACGGAAGATAAAAAAGTCGTTTGCTATGTGATAGGTCAATTCTATTTCCTATAGTGACAGTCATTTATTTCCTTTGTGCTCGTGTCGGTGTAGGTGCAGTATCAATGTGGAACGAATGTGGGTTTTGTCTCGCTCTCTGAAACAGGTTAAGTAAATAGTCAGATGGCTATTCATAATGGACAAATGGAATTTCCACGTTCAGCTGAATAGAGTGGGCGCTTTATCTGATTCAGTTTTTAATTAAGGTCGTATAACTTTTTTATTAGTAGAGCAAACTCCTGCTGTTTGATTTGTTTCGATAGTTTTGTTCAATGCAATAGGCAGTGTAACAAAAACTCGCTAGTGTAACGAAAAATTCACGTTGATTAATATAGTTCAAAATCAAAAAAGGTTATATCTACTACTACCTATCTATACATGTTAAATGTATTTATAAGTAATAAAAGTTGTTTCCAAAGCTTTTGAAATACCTATTTAAATAAAATTAATTTCCTACGAAATAATGAAGTTGGTGTAGTGAAGCCCTAAAAGAATTAAAGTTGAATAGACGTTTTGTGAATACGAAAGAAATCGGGCCGGGAATCAACGATGTAATCAGATTACGACCTTTTTAATATACTGACATATTTGGGTCATTGGAATCCTTTGAAGTTGTTGGCTATACATCAATACGCAGCTCTATAAATAGAAACAGAACTATTTAGCCTAATAAAAAAAAAATATAAAAAATTCCATTAAAAAGAAAAACATTTCGATTGCATTGTGTATTTTTAGCGCGTGAAAACATGATGTTCATTTGTACAATATTCGTGTTTCAGTTTATTTTTCATCAATATGAACCGTAGTAGTATTACATTTCAATGTTTCTCTACGTTGTATCAGTTTCTGCCTCGCTGCATGCCAGCGGAATATATTTTTTGTTCGCGTTTGTGTAAACTGCGACACAGCAGCGCCGAGCTTTTTCTACGTGCTTTTCTTTGTGGCCCATATAGAGTGGTAAACTGGTGATTGCTGATATTGCCTATCAAGGCAATGTAGTCTTTGTGTCGGTAACAACAATCTGAAACGTTATGTGTTTACTTTTTAATTGTCTTACATCTCTTTATACGACATTCGTAATAAGTGCAAAAGTAAAAACGTTGATTGGTTTTAAACAATGTATTTAATTGTTTCGTTACTTTTATATTAATTTTTCAATAACGGTGACCTTATTCTGTATTTAATTGGAAAAGATGCGGTCAAAGGTGTCCACGTAATGTAAGTGAGGTAAGCCTGGGTAAACGTTGTTAAGTTGTTGATGAATCTGTATCGAATTATAATGGGAGGTGGCGGTGGGTCGTCGGCCCCGGCCGCCTGCGCAGCCCGAACCCTGCTGCCGCCGCGCCGGCCAATAATCCGGTTAGAGCGACCGCACGCGCCGCCGGCACTGTCCTGATCGAAATGTAATTGGGTGTGCTCACCTGTCGCACCGCACTCCTATTAAAATAGATCATTTCTGAAATTCATTCCTGTACTAGCTTCCGACTGCGGCTTCACCCGCGTCGTATATTGATAAAAAGTAGCCTATGTCCTATTCCGGAGTGTATCCTAGGCCTGTGCCAAATTTCATCCAGATCTGTAATCTGTTACGTGCTTCTGATGTTGTTGGTGATATACTGAGCATTTTGTTCGAATCGATGATCTTAACCTCTCATTAAGTTGCTGGTGTTAATCAATTTTCATATTTTATTAATTAAAATGGATGTCTATTAGTCCTATTTTATCTTTATGGAAGCAATATCATGAAAAGCGTCCATACGCTCGAAGCTTTAACATATGACTGCGAAAAAAATGTTTTGTTTAAAATATATTTTCATTTTCATTTCCATTTCCTTATACACTTTTTGTTTGTACATTAATCATCGACGTGCTATTTATATTAATAACTGACTCTTTTAAAAGGTATAATATCTGGGATAAAAATTAATTAGGTCATATCTTTAATTGAACGAATGATTTCATTTCACATATATACGTACATGAATAACGTAAACTGTAAAATATATTATATCTATAATTAATATTATAAAGAGGTATTTGTTAGTTTGTTAGTTTGTATGTCCCCTACATACAAACTACTACTTAATATTGGAATCGCTTGTCGGATTGCCAAAATTATTTCACTGATAGATAGCTACAAAGTTTCTGAGTGCTATAAAAAGTCAAAAGTCAAAAATCATTTATTCCAATTTACAGGCACTTTTGAACTACAAACAAAATTAAAAAAAAAATAGTGTCAATCTGTCGGTCAGTCCTCTTAGTGAAGCTATTTGCTATAAAACATCACGCTACGACCAAATGGAGCCGAGCAGCGGGTGAAACCGCACAATAATAGCTAATTATGAAATATTATGAAAACGACGTAGTTATCAATTCCACATGTAAATAATTATTCGTAAATGGTTGGGATGTAAACAAAAATAATTTAAAAGGGAATAAAAGGTGTCATTAAACTGTTGGATCGTTTGCTTTTACAATATACTCGTACACACATACATAGGTACAATGGACAGACGATTTGTGTGTACGAGCGAACGTTAACTTCGGATTATATTTTAATACAGGTACAAATTCAGGTCCGTTTTACGCAGCCCCCTGTAATTAGGCCGCGGACCCGTTTTCTCAAACATAAATGTTTGCCCATCATTGTATTTTATTTTTGCAATATTTAAAAATATGGCAGGCGTCTCATTACAGGCATTCTGTCGTCGCGACTGCTGCTTTGGTTACATAAGGAATAATGAAATGATAATGTCCAAAAATATTTATTTTATTATTAAAAAATACGCGTCATTCTATCGTCGCGACTGCTTCTTTAGTTACACAGGAAATTATTAAATAATAATGTCCAAAAGTATTTTTCATCATAACATAGTATAGAACAAACTAGTTTTCTTTGTTCCAATATCTCTATGTTTTTATGCTTAAATGTTTGAAACTAAGCAACCGATATATGCGATGTTTTTTTTAATTGTGTTTGTAGAGGTAGTTTATAAGAACAATAACATCTATTAAATAGTGGAAAAAATCGCTCGTAATGGTATAATTTGTTTCTAACCTTATTTTTATCGAATTAACTTTGACGTTCTTCAGTCAACTAAAAGCACGTGTCGCTCAACTATTCAATCAAAAAGTGTCCAACGTCATAGTATTGGATTTCCATTTACCTAGAAATTGCCATTAGTATGCGATGACATAGGTGCAGTGTGGCCGTCAGTGGCAAGCTCAGAACGATCAAAACTCGCTCACTGTTCCACCAACCGTGGTAACGGAGCGTAACAAACTCAAATTGAAATGTCAGCCTTTCAAATATTCACACAACGTAGCTGTGTACCTCTCCAACTGTTTCTTGTAAGCTTATTTAGTACCTACTACGTGTCTTGTTCTCACAGAAGTATACACTTAATGAACTGAAAATGAGAGCCAACCTTAAGTCGAAGTGTTGATTGCGTTTCATATTCGTGACGATCATTGTAGTCTAATAGCACTACCAAGAGTTATTTTTTCGAATTATCCTCGAAACAATCTCACATAATATAAAATCTAACACAAATTCAGTTCAATTTGATAGCGTTCTTAAAATGAAAACGTTTTCTATTTGCGAATATACTAAGATTTCTCTCAGATAACTGAATGTATTGCAAATGACAAGGCATAATGATTTACATAATCGAGCTTTAGAGAAACTCTCGTTTTGTTTAGCGATTAAAATGCATGATGTGCAGTTATCTAGAAGTGCTATAATATCATGCAAAGCAAGCTGCTCCTTAGTATTATACATATGCATGCTTTCAGTGTAAGTCTTCAGTGATCTGAATTCTAAATGCATCTTTGTCGCTTAGAAGCGTACCGTTTAAAAGTCAAGTTTGAAATAAAAAGTGAAATATTTATCTATGGCAGTTTACTTAAACCTTAGTATTCGGCTTGTATACCCTTAAATGTCACAGACAAGCTTCGTATTTATTTCTAGATCGATCTACTAGCTGATTAAATAATCGACATTTGAAAGCCACCGTGCACTAGGTGCAACACCCACACAAAGCTTGTCAGTATAAAGGTCACGACACACAACAATACCACTCGTCTATGGCAATGGACTTTCACTGATTGCCTTATAACAACATTACTATTATTATACTAGTTTCTGCCAGCGGTTACGTCTTTAGTAACAGGACAAAACCAGCCTATGTTTTATTCCACACAATGCTCTAATATCTGTGTCAATTTCATTTAAATACGTTTAGTTGTTCTTGAGTAAAAGAGTAAAAAACGTTCATAAATCCATGCTTACATCGTACGTTTAATATATTATTAGGATTTAAAAGGAAATAAAAGATATTAAAGATATTAAAAATACTTCATAATTATCTTATATCTCTGTATAATATCTACTACGTCAGGGAGTAAAAATAAATCATCTAACTTGATTTCAAGCATCATTCGGAAAAGAAATACGGATTCATTTGAAATTCAAAAGAGCCCACAATTGCTTTCTCATTTGTTGTAATGAACTCGTTATATATCGGCCTCAAATTAAAAGTATTGCCTAATTTACTATGCGAACGATAAATGTATATTAGGTAAAGCTAACTCATTTGCGATTCAAAGTTACCCAGTCCTTACCTGACGTAAGTTATACCTACTTTAAAGTCTTACAAAAGTTTTGTGTGAATAATTCAATATTCTTACAAAATAACACTGGCGTTAATGAGGTAATTAAATTGATAAGAACATAATTAATTAGTCGCAGCCAAACTAATAATGACCAGCTGTGATCAGCTGTTATAACAGTGACCTCATGACATTTGAAGGCAAGATTCTATAGAGAAATATAAAGGTAGTATTGAGCAGCGAAAACGGAAGTTGTGAGCGATGTCATTGATTTCCGGGACATCTGTAGCGTCCCTTGTACCTCGGCCTTGTCCGACTTCGGAGAGAAATGCTACACAGATCGTGGAGAACGTGGACGCCGGCGCGTGTGACCTTCTCGTTATTGACCTTACTCCTTAACAGTTACGTAAGTAAAGTAGTATGAGAAATAAAACAATACATCTTATCAAATGAAATGTTTCTTAATACCATTTGTGGTTTTTCTCAAAAAAAAAAAGAAATTTAAAAAGTTCGATTAGTTTCTGACTGTCTGTCTACTAGTATCAACTGACTGACGCTGCTCGTGAATAAGAGTCCCGTTGTGACTTGAAACTAGTAGAGCTTTTCTCAATTTATTCACGTGAGAAAATCGTTATTTTTAATAGATCGTTAAAAATTTTGTAGTTCTCACAGCTCTTCTATATGGCCCGACGGTTCAATGGCGTTTTGACAAATTGTCTACAAAATGTAAACATACACAGGCAATAAAGTCAAAATTGATTGCCTGTGTTTTGTGCACTCTATATCAACAATTAGGTACCTATTTTAAAACATGGCTTTACAATTTTAGTTTACTGCAAAATAGGATTACTTTTTTAAAATGTGACATGATGTTCTGGATAGTTTCAATATACCTATCATATTATAATTTAATATACATATGCAGCTTCTAAATAATAATACAACATAATATAGAAGAATATTTTATTTAGGTAAAACTAAAGTGGAAGAGACAACAGGTACATTTAATATAACCTTTTTTTCTTCTTTTTGTTTAGTGCGAACAGGACTTTCATTGGTCTGAAACACAAGACGACTACAATTTTTCGTTACTTATTTCAAAGTGTTATCTATTAGTCTGTTAGTGAAATAGGAACAAAACTACGGCTACAAGCTTTTACAAGAGGATGATATCGAGGGCAGGAGGTGTTAATAATATTTAAGTACTTAAAACAGTAACTTACTGACTTCTGAAAAAATAAGAATTAACATCAATCAACTTATCACGTTTTACATTTAATATTATACGAATTATGAGAGATAAGTATACGAAGGATTCCTACATGGGACTCCGTTTTTATCCAGGCAACAATTAATTTATAAATAATAATAGATTATTTTAGTACACTTAAAATTAAAGTCAAGAGATTTATTAGGTACTATCATGAAAGCATAAAAACATAATTATTCTTGTTGTTCCTTATTTCCACAAGGAGTTTCGTTTCGAATGTCATCCTACAAGTAATGATTGGCTGTATTGAAATGTATTTTAATCATATATAGTGTAAAACAAAGTCGCTTTCTCTGTCCCTATAGCTTTATGTACTTATGCTTAAATCCTTAAATACACAACATATTTATGAGGCGCTTTTTTTAATAGCAAGATTGATGGAAGAGAGAAGTAGGTATGTATTATAAGTATAACATCCAGTAATTAAAGGAGAAACTTTGTATGAGCATTGGACCCTTGCGAAGCTGGGGCAGGTCGCTAGTAATGTATAATTAGATATAACGAACACTTTATAAGACAGATTTAAGAAGAAAATAGAAATAAATGAATACAAAAGCTTTAGTTAAGATGATAAAATTTCAGACTTTAAGCAAATAATACCCACATCATCATCTTCTTCTGCCGCATCTACTGGACGAGCAGAATCTTCACCGGCGTCTTGTTTCTGGAAAAAATACAAAAATTGAAACATTATTTTTAAGATTCAAATATCTTATTTTTTTATTAAGGCCTCTTTTTTTAGTAAGCATACTATGTATATTTATATATATCGAAGAGCAAACCGTGTACCAATGGATACTTACAGGAATATATAAGTATACTTTATTTTACACATTATTACAAATGCAATAGAGACCAGGCTTAGAATTATTGAGTGAACAATGGGCAGTTTATCACACATGGTGATTTCTTCCAAAACAATCGTTTGGATGGAAATTTAAAATTAACCGTAGTTAATACTCATAAAATACATACACAATATACACATGCATACAATATAATATTTTGAACATAAAATAAATGAGTAACAAAATTACTACACGTTCTCAAACTTCAGAAAATTCAAGATGTTGTATTTAGGTAATTCAAGACTAAAATCGTTTATTTTAATAATTAAGAAAGTATTGCGGATAAAACGAGTTTGTATTTAACAATAATTGAATCACGACCTGTGTAAGAACGCAAGTTTTCATATACAAAATTTATTATTTATTTTTTATACTGCACTATTTGTTACCTCATTAGGCTCGCCAAATCCAAGGATGTGAGGTTTCGGGCTTGACGTTTGCGCTGAAAGAATATAAAAATGGCATATTAAGTGAAAATTGCTTCTGTGTACAATTCATGAAATTGTAAATTTTCGAATACGTCTTTTTTTAAGTAATAGATCGGCAAACGAGCAGACGGATTACCCGATGGTAAGTAATAAGCGCCGCCCATGGACACCCGCAACGGAGGAGTTACGAGTGCGTTGCCGACCTTTTAGGGATTAGGGATTTGGAGATTTAGGGATTAAGGAGGGAATGGGGTGGGGAAGGATTGGGCTACCGGTAACCTCACTCACACGGCGAAACACAACGCTGTGGTTGTTTTACGCCGGTTTACTGTGAGGCCGTGGTATCACTCCGGACGAGCCGGCCCATTCGTGCCGAAGGCTGGCATGGCTCTCCCTCACTTAATCGTCTGTTGCGAATAGGCTTAGTTATTACACGCACGTCTCTTCTATAAAATTAGTTTGATTTTGAATCTTGTTCGAGTGTGAATTGAGCGTCGAAGTGACGGGGAAATTACATTATAGAGTGCCACTTTTAACGTCATCTCATACTTTATCTATCAAAATGTTGCGATCAATTTAGTTCAACTCGCAAGTGTAGGGCTAGTGTACTACTATTACTCACAGCGGATTCAGATTCGAAGTTTAGAATGACGTTTTACAGAATCACACTGCTGATCTACATATTTATTTATACACCCGGTTTCTAATGTTAAAATCAATTTAATCTCTTGTCAAGCTATCTGATTAGTTGACTGAATTATCAACAACCAATCAGATGACTTGACAGGAGATTAGTTAATTTTAGCGTTGACAAGCCTTTCAGAAACCGGGTGTTAGTCATAGAATTGGGAGGTTTCCTAGGTCAAAAATAAATCAATTCGACGTTTCAATACAATAAAATATTGAAAAATAACTATACTTTTAATTATCGATCGATCGATACACTACATTTAAGATATGTTTTAGCTATTTTTTAAGCAATAAATAAACTATTTGACGCAAAAATACTATGACGTCATAACTCAGTCTTTCATATCATAGTATCGTTTTTGACATTTGGATAAAAGTATTGAATTTGACTATATAGTTAGAAACTACCGTATTATTGTCATAAAATATGTCACATTAGTCTAAAAACTTCTTTCAATTGTTTAAAGTCAGTCAGACAGGATACTGTTTACTGATAATTCTGCGAAATCGATCCAATATGATCTGTATTAAGTTATACGCTAGTTATGGCGTTACAACCAGTTTTTACTAGACTAGTTTTAACTGAACTAGTAAACGGATTACCTAATGTAAGCAATCGGCGTCGAGCATGGACACATGTAATACCCAAGGAGTTACAAGTACGTTGCCCGCCTTTTAGGGATAAGGGTTTCAGATATTTAAGGATTGGGAAGGGATGGGGAGAGATTGGTCCTCCGGTAACCTCACTCACACGTCGAAACACAACGCTGTGGTTGTTTCACGCCAGTTTTCTGTGAGGCCGTGGTATCACACCGGTCGAGCCGACCCATTCGTATGGAAGCTTGGCTCATTGATTATTTAAGAGAAATGATATATTTAAAAAAAAAAATTGTAGTAAATAATTTTTAATCAAAAAAAATCAAAACTTACCAGCTTGATGCATAAGAATTTTATTGAAATACTCCTCTAGGGTTTCGACTCTCTCCTCGATAGCGTTGTTTGCTGAAATGCGAGCCGAACGAAAATTTAAAATATGTAATATTACAGAAAACGTAACAATAAAATATTTAGTTTCTTACAAAACGCCAATGGGTTGGTCAAAACAATGCGCCTTTCAACTGTAAACAAAAATAATTTGATACCAATTTATTATTGTAAAGCTTTATTTATTATATTTGATTACACACGATTGTAGCGGGTTCGATTCAAACATGTAACAACTCTTTATAACAAATTGTTGTTGATGTACATATATGTGAAATTGTGTTTGTAACTCTAAACGCACTCACGACACAGGAGAACATGTGGGAAATATACATTGGGGTAACGTTAAAAATATCAACTTAATGAGAATAACTAAAAGTGGTACACACTACACTTTTCATATTTGCTGCTTAAAGATTTACAACAACATTAATTTACTTACTGATTTTTTCAACTTCTTCGTCCAAAATTGATATACCCACTGAAAAATTAAAAATATATTATTAAATACCGACTTAATAAGAATGCAAATTGATCGATCCTTCAGAAAGCCTGGCTATCCATCTGCAAGGATTGAGGTGACAGAAAGTCAATATGCAGGAAGCTTGCCGATTGCCACTAAAAATGTCGTGCCGAAATCTATCAACGGCCTTCCAAATATCTGCCCGGTGCTTTTCCCTGGCCTCATATATGAGTCGCATACGCCAAAAGATCCCCAGTAGACCAGTGGCGACGAAACCCCTATTGCCAATCATTGATAAGCTCCTTTCCTTACCAAAGGTATACCAAGATTCTTCGTCTTGTATTTAGTACATTTACAACGCATTTAGCATTTGACCAGTCATCAAGAAAAGACGAAGCAGGCTTGTAAAGATAGCAGTCAGCTCACGGACACAAGCTTTCAGAACTAAGGCTTTCGTCGGGTTCTAGCTTTGTTCATGTCCGAATAGCTAAGTCTTGTATGTCTCCCTCTATGAGAGCGAATTGGCAACTTGTTATGAGTGCCTCCAGATTTACGGATCCCGGAGGTTTCGTATAGGGATTTTAATTAAAGGGACTCCAATGGACGAAGGTGACAGCCTCCAAATGAATGTTCGATTTGTAACAGTTACTAATTACAACTAATAATATAGGTATAATACAAACTTACTCATTTTCCGGAATTTCATATCTAACACGTTTTGTTCCTTGTCTTGAAGAGTGCCCACGTTATCATCTGTGAATTTTTCATAATTATTTATGATATGAGTAAACATCGTGCTCGGTCATTTAATGGTTACTTAACCCAGTCTTCAAATTATATTAACAAAATCGTTACTAAGGAATAGATTAAGTAATCATTAAATATCTCCGAGAACGGCGTTAACATCTAGTAAGTACAATAATATAAAAAGCAACTAAAAGGTTCAGATACAAGATTTCCTTGGTTCTAGTAAAGCTTTCCTCAGTTAATTCTCGTGATTAAGTAAGATGTTATTTAAAAAAAAAAGATCATTTTTATGTTTATATTGCATTAATCTATAAAAATAATTTAAATAGCATTATTATTTTTGGAAGATGAATAGTTCAAGATCTTATTTATGTATGTCTTATATATATAGTATGTCGAAGTCAGTGGAATTTTTGTGACGGCCAATGTCAAGCAAAGGAAGACAAGCAAGGGAATTGCTAAGAAGAATCTGCTGATGATGATTGTGATAATAATATACATAAAGAAGCTCACGGAAATTAGTCGAATTGTTGCCATCATTGTGGCATAACGTTTGTAATCGGCAGCTATCTATGTCCGTAAGGTAATCGCAGACGTATCGCCAAGTGCACACCGGTTTTATAGTAGTTGTTAGAACACCACCATTTTCTTCACCTGTGTACATAGTTTTTTTTATAATACTAGCATACAATATACTGCTTAGCTATATCTGGGGACTTGCCAGTAAAATTAAATATCTTTTAATCCTTCCTTAAAATTTTCAATTCAGTACTATCTGTGAGAATTGTAAATTTTTGTTGTTTCGTATCACACATTAGATGCTGCTAGTCGTAGGTGTGAATTGCAAAGCTATTATCAATTATATTGAGTGATATTAGAACGTTAATGTTACATAACAATATAGTTTTTTGTATTTAAATTAATTCTTTTTAACTTTACCGTGTTCTTGTCAAATTTGTTTGTGGCAGAAATTTTTTTTAATCACATTTTTATCGAGTTTTTTATATACTACGCAACACTAGAAGAAACCAATCGAGTTTTGCTATTATCAACTCAATGCTTCTGAGTTAGTTTGAACGTGCTAATCTCTAAAACTGCTCGAACTTAATCGAACAATGTTTTTTTTGCGTAAATTGTCAATGAATCGGGGAATTATTACTAGTAGAATCATCACGCTCAACAAAAAGAATTCGAATCGTATTTACCGTAATTCACCCACCCATATACTTATAGATAATATTTCAAAACAAAAGTCTAAAAATTTTAGTTTCTGCTATAAACGGCTTTCTATCGACTGTCAATTTTCTATTCTGTGTATTCTACTTACCGTTCCTCTCCTTAATACTATTACGTTCGGACTTCTTTTTCGATTTCTCAGTTGTACTCGTATTTACTGTATGAAAGATAATTATTTTTATATTTAATATCTGTATCAGTACAACATAATATGACTTTGAGGTTACCTTTATTGTTTTCACTACCATTCGATTTGCTTTTACCTCCTAATGAGAATTAAAACTGAATCAATATATTTATCGAAACAATTTAAGTATTCCGTAGGTTATTGTCAGTATTTAAAGATATATATTTAGTATAGCTAAGAGTAATACGTAGGTACGTACCTTTGTTCAACGTTTTCTTACTATCTTTGCTTTGCTTAGAGTTTTTGTTTACATCTTTATTGTCTGGCTCTTTTTGTAAATGTTTGTCTTTATTCGATTTGCGACCACGATGATTAATTATCAAATGCCGATTCGGTTTCATATTCTTTTCCAATTTCAAAATTGTGCCAGCAGGTGGAGTGACTGCAGGTCCTAAAATGAGCCATTGAAGAAAAAAAGTAAGTATTTTTTTTTATTTGAACCCGTTTAGTCAGAAATTCAATTTAAAGAAAAATCTAAAGATCGCCTTTATGGTAGCTACTGGTAACCTTGGTAGCAGTGTGTAACCAACACTACTTATTTTAATCTTAAGTAAGTATTAGAGTAAATAAATACTTCTGTTTTCACTTCTTAGAACAGGTTTCGTAGTAGTAGTTGTTGATGGAGACGATTTCTTTAGGAGCACTGGAAACGACAAAAGCGATCAAATTCTCGCCTAACCTATGCTATAACGAGGCTCTATAACAGTTTCGGCTGAGTAGATAATGATTGAGAAAATCAAGTTCTATATTGAGTGATCAGATTGTGTTCTATATTACTACTGCACAAAAGTAGCGTTAAGCGTAAGTTAGCCTTATTGATTCTAAAATTCCTAAGAAACAGACTCTGAACTGGCGACTATAACTGACGGAATAGGGTGTGTGGTATGCTTAACGGGAATTATATATGCTTGTACGACGATCTTTACTTACAATGAAAATAGCATGATCGCGGCTCGTCTTTGACATCAACAATTTGTCCTAAAATGTAATAAATAAATGTACGTAATGTAATATTCGTACGCAGTCTCAGAATCTACCGATCATCCTTAGCGAGACTACATCTAATCCTGGCCAATACTCTTGCTTTATAGATCTTATATCTTTATAGAAATTACTGATCGCCGTGAGGTCACTAATATTTCACATCACTAACATACAATCTTAGAAAACATCGCGATGAAACCTAGACTTATCATTTAGAATTATAAGTTCGAAAAGCCAAACATGCTTAATCAAGCCTTGGTGGAAAAGAGGGTTTTGCTCAGTATCTGACACGATGATGTGAAAGGGTCATAGAGTTTAGGATCCCAAAGTCCAGAACCTTTGGTTAAGCATTAGGCTCACTCCTGGTTATATCCACAGACGTAAAAGTGGGTGAAACGTCATCTGTTTCCCTTCAGAAGAATGGAAGGTACATATATTTTAAAAAACATAGCTACTTTAATTATTTACTCACCCATAAAGTTTACTGGATGTACCGTAACGCCTGTGTCGGGAAGCCCACTTCTCGTATCTTGAACAGCTGTAACATTAATCAATTTGATGACATTATTCGTAATGCACGCTATTCCTTAATATAAGCCCCTATCGTTACTTGAAACTAGTCGAGTGAGTTTGTTAAACGAAAACGATTTACTCGTCTTACGTTATTATCAACTAAATAGTTATTGAAGAAAATAGCAAACATTTTGATTTTATGTTTTACGATAAATGTTTAATACCTAGTTAGGCTTAATTAGATAAGTTAGAATTTTGATTAAAAATATCTATCTTTATAGGTAATGGAGAGTATGGAAATACAATGAACCTATACATCTTTCATTACTTGGAACCAATGACGATTCTCTTTGCTTGTAACTAACAAATTAGGTGGTTGGAGTAATAGCAATTATATAATTAAATATTATGATTAACTATGCATCTACTTAAAAACAAAACACTACCTGTATTGTCTAATGACAAAGCCTGAAGTGCATCTAAACCTTGGAGGTCGTTTTCTGCAAATTAAAATAATAAGCCAATGAAAACTTTCTCGCGATGGTTTTTAGTCAGTCTGACAATAGCTCTTGCTTGCTTGGGTGGACCCAAGGCGGAAAAAAAATATTTTCTGCAACTCTGACCTGACTCTTGGTCTAGTCTTAATAACGTGGAACCCCTCATTCTACGTAATAGGTAAAAGTTCATTGCAATATAGTAGAAAGATAATGCAGTTTTTATGAAACTAAAATTATATCATACATTACCAGTCAAATAAACTATCATTTTCTTGGTTTGAACTGTGAAAAGGTTTTAATTTTTAATTTAAATGGATTATATAAAAGTAAATACGCAACTATGTTTATACATACAGTATCTTACAAAGATCTTATCGGCCAATTCTTCGGGACTCCTTGACGAAGTAACAATTCCTTTACCTTCTAAAATCAAAATTATCAACGGTTTTATAATCGATGAAAATCTTTATATTTATGAAAACCTCAAGTAGATAAACTTTTCAGAAAAAACATTACATAAACTTTTTAGAGAATATTCTATAGATTACTTATAATACAAAAAAACCTTACCTCCTGGATTTCTTACTGTAAAATAGACAAAAATTATAAATACCAGATCAGAATTACCTTGTAAGTATATGAAAAATTAAAAGTAAATTGTCATTAAAATGAGCAGTTATTTTAGTTGTTTGTGTAAAATGGCCAAACCTGCTAAAATAGCGCTTTGAAATTCTGCGCAGATCAGATGGCGTAAAATAATTTGTGTAAATACTATGGTATTAAATTAGAAAGATATAATTCGATGGGCTTGTTTCTGAATATTTTGATAATTTGTAATATAAGTATCAAAATATCAAACAGGCCCTAAGACATTTGAATTCACAATTACCTAACTAACGTAATTTTAAGTACGAACCTTGGCTCAGCAACATTTTTGTAACTGGCAACAATTCCCACGGAGTAAAGGTGTCACCTGGCCAATATAAAATATTGTTATATTTAATTGTAATGATTAAATTTTTATAATTAGAAGTAGCACCAAATACGTGTAAGCATAACTTTGTTTATTTACCTATCTGCAATGGTCTGCTAAAAACATCTGTAAAAAAATAAAGTAGGATTTAAAATATATTTTATGTGATAAGTCGGAAAATAAGCAGACTGATTAGTTAGACAGTAAACAATCGGCGACGCTCTTGTAACACCAAAGAAGTAGGTACTACAACTATATTACCAGCCTCTTGTGGGCTTTTAGATTTTAGAGATTTAAGGATTTGAGGATTGAGGATGGGTGGGGGGAGGATATCCTTCGATGACCTCAAACAAACACAAATTTGTTACATGATGATGTATGCGCTATGCGTGAAGATAAAGATATGCGATGATTAAATAAAAGAAAGGAAGAAAAAACATTTATTCGTCATATTACGACGATACCACATTACATATATAAATAAAGATTGTATAAAAAAGTTATAGTTTTATAGTCAGACTTTTAATTCGATTCCTGATTTGACATTGACCACTGTCATTTTGTGAAATAATGATACCACATATAAAAGTGTAGTGATGAACACAAAAATCGATAAACAATCAGTGAATCAGTTTCAGGAAGGCATTCAAAAAATTACGGCTACCGAATGGTCTAAATGTGTATCCTATGTTTTCAAAGAAGAGGAAAAAATGAGTAAGCTAGATATGTTAATTGACAATAAATATCAAAGACACAATTCATAATAAATGTTACATAGAGTAACGGCGATAGCGATAGCGATGACGGCGACAATTTATAAAATGTCTGTTTTATTTGTCACGTTCCTTCATGATCACATTTTTTATTAATTTCACACACAATTACAAAAGAAAAGCCTCAGATCGTTATTTAATTGTCAAAACTAAATTATCGGTTCAGAATTTTTTTTTCCTGATAAGCTTAGTTTACAAGAGTAAATTTATAAACGAGAGGAATCGATTCAGAAATATTCGATTTCCATATCGAATAATTTCGCAACGTCACTATTTATAACGTGTCATAACGTTGCAACACTGAAATTGTCAAATCTGGAATGGAATTAAAATTCCGAGTATAGTAGTTTTCTAGATCTAAGCTAAAGGTTTTGAGTCTTTAAAAAATATTTTTAGCCGCTACTTACTGTTTTCATTGTCATTATTGTCTTCTTTGGGACCAGTTTCTTCATTGTCCATGTCGGTTTCTTCATCGGTCTCAGTTTCTCCAAAATCTTGGCCTGCATCCTCGTCATCCTTATCAAATTGATCTACTGTAACATGTAGCAAATCAAATTGATTGTAATCGTCATTATTCATCATACCGAAGTTGGCTTTAAAATTTACCAAAATGGAGACTACATAATTTTTATTCGTTAAAATACATTAAAATTGCAAAAGCAACATAAACAATCATAGCTTTTACCACTTACCTTTGCTCACGGGGCCTCCGTAAACCTTAATAAAACACAAACAAAAACATTAAAAATCGAACCTAATTTTGAATTGCGATTTAAAATCTTAATATCAAAATGTATCAAAGGATTCTTTGATTATAAAAGTAACGTAGGTACATAAACAACATTGGAACAACCGGCAAAAGGGCGAACTACGAATAATTTGGTCAAATTGTTTTTTGTGTTTAATGAAAATTATATCTCGTGTTAAAACAATTCGAGACCATGAATATAAGGTTTAAGCCTAACTTACACAACGTAAGTGTTAATTTACGCCTATTTTTTTTGAGGTCGTGGTATCACTCCAGTCGAGCCGACCCATTCGTGCCGAGCATGGCTTGCCGGCGTGAAACCTCCACAGCGTTGTGTTTCGCTGTGTAAGTGAGGTTACCGGATTTCCCCTCCCCTAATCCCAAAATCTCCAAATCCCAAAAGATCTGCAACGTACTCGTAACTCCTCCGTTGTTGCGGGTGTCGGTGGATGGCGCTGATTGCTCACATCAGGCAATCTGTTTTTCGTTTGATCAATTATCACATAAAAAGGGATACTTACCAATTCAAACCCAATTAAAAACAAAATTAAATAGCAGTGTCCCAACATTATGAATTACGACATGTTACCTTTTCCACTCCGAATTATTTATAATTAAAATGTAACTATGTATGCAAAAGTAATTGGCTGCTGCCATTTGCATTTGATAGAATTGCATTGAGCATGAAATGTATGCGATTTTACGACCATCAGACTTGAAATGTGCAAGTGGATTTAGGAATAACTTTTGAACTGTATTTATAGTTAAGCCAATCAAATTGTGTGTGTGTCAAAATACCATATATCAAGTTACCTATACTAATATTATTAAGAGGTATAATTTGTAAGTTTGTATGTAGGGGGTAATCTTTGGAACCGCTGGTCAGATTTCCAAAATTCTTTCACTGATAAATAGCTACAATGTTCCTGAGTGCTATAGGCTATAAAACATCACAGCGGGAGAACCCCCCGAGATTATCTAGTAAGAATATAATTATATAGCATAGTGGTGTTAAATGCTCGTACCTTCTCTGTGTGAGAAAAGGCCTTTGCTCAGCAGTCGGCAAAGGCCTTTTCTCACACAGAGAAGGCTGATTATGTGACGTAATTTAAAATTTAAACTTTCAAATGTGCTAATTCGAGACACAATAGAAAAACAATAGGTAAGCAAACGCCAGCGTTTGCTTGGGGTTTGGTTAATTAATTGCTGATTGTTAGTCTCGCTAATACTCTGAAACGGCTGGACAGACCTTATTATCTTGGGTTTGAAATATTCGTGAAAGTCCAGGGAAACTTTAAACTGTAAGAAGGTATGGAGAAATGTCAGTTAAAGACTAAAAACATTAATTATGAGTTTTGAATGGTTTTTAGTCAATAAGAGTCAAACACTCCTTCTCGACCCACACGGGGCGGGAGAATTTGCATGACGATATTTACCTCTCAAAAAATTATGTAGTTTTTAATATACCTTAATACTTATTTCAGTCAATAGCTTTATTAATATGTATCATATTTATGCTTCACTATCATTCACTGTCAAATGTAACTTAAAACTTGTTATACCAGTAAATTGGTCAGTTTAATATAAGACATTCTATAAAACAGAAGCGTTGTGTTTTGCCGTGTTGCCAATTGTTAAATATCCGAAACGCTTATCCCTAATAGGCCGGCATCGCACTCGTAACTCCTTTGCTGTTGCGGGTGCCAATGTGTGGCGCTGATTTCTTGCCATCAGGTGATACGTCTGCTCGTTTGCCGACCTATACCATAAAAAACCTGTCTGCAATGATCTCTGAATGGAGCTGGCAGCCGTTTTTTCATGAAGAGAAGTTAAACCCTGAAATTGGATGTGATAGCAGAAAGCGTTAATTTTAGTGTCACGAACGCGGAAAAATGTATAACTAGGTAACAATTTCACCAACATTATACTTAGATTTCAATGTAAAAATGTACGTAGGTATAGAAAAAATTACACGGTTAATAATATAATAAAAGCTTGTAAAAAGGTATGAAATTTACCTTAAGAAATACATACAACAGTGACCGATCGACAGTGACATATATAAATAACTAAGTTTTAAGTTAAAATTTGGATTTCGAAAATTAGTACACACTAAGAAAACAGAGAATTTTATTCACATCGATATCATCTATTTCAATCAATTATATTGACAAAATATTTATGTTTTTATAATAACTATCGTGAGACATACTAAATTAACTAAAAATCGCGGGTTACTCACGTGTAAATATTGAGAAAAGCTCTACTAGTTTCGTCGCCGCGTCCGCGCACGCTGCTCATGAGGAAGAACCCCTCTGTGGTTCGAAACTAGTAGAGCTTTTCTCAATATTTACACGTGAGTAACCCGCGATTTTTAGTTAACAAAATATTTAAGTAATTTTACGACTATCTTTTTTATAGAATGTTAAAAATAATAAAACTTTAAGTAACACGTAGTTAATATATCCAATAAAAAGATTAAGAAAGAAAACTTCAGGTTATTAAAATAACGTCTGTCATTCTAAAACCCTTCTTTCCTTAGTTTTTTGAATATCTACCAAAGTTATTCAAAAATATGCCACCACACTATATGTTTATTTCTTTCCTCACTCGATATTACTTTCGACAAATCCTTACGGCTGTGCGTTACTACTTTAATAACGAGGTGTCGGATAGGTTATTGCGTTATGTAACAGTATGTACTATGTGTCGCTACGTCATCAGAAACTCACGGTAATAATGGCACCCACCCGCAAAACTACATCGCGGGGCACGGTAACAAAGCGTAATAATTTGCACTGTGATCGTATGTAACAATCTAGGTAATTAAGCTGTAGGTATGAGTTTTGTTGATAACATTATTAACTTATTATACAATTGCAGTCAGTCTCAACAGACGTAGCAGAATTATCGATAGTTAATTTTGTAGAGTTAGGTACGAACCTTGAGTTCTAGAACTTTTTTAAATTTATTTTTATTTTCAGGTCGAATGTTTATTATATTTATAAAATGATCTGCAGGCAGATACTAGTCACCTGTTCTCAACTTAGCTCCACCATCAGACACGAATGGATCAATATTTCCCTTCCGCATATCAAGTGCCCGCAACTTAATTTTAGATCAAGCGTGAACGCCATTGTTGCGGTACATCTACTCGTACCTTTATTTATACAACACCACACATTCCATATTTTTATATTAACAAAGCTAATTCTATTTTGTTAAATATAATTTATACAATTTTAGTACAATGATATCACTATCTAGCCCCGTCGCGTTGTCGCCGCGGAGTCTGACATTTACTTCGTACAATAATAAAGCGACAGAAGCGCCGTGTAACTGAGAAGCCTTTTGTTTCTGTTGATCCTGTTTAAAGCGAATAATTTCCATAATGTTGTTGCAGATTATCTTATTTATTTAACAATGTTTGTAAAGAAAAGTGAAATGTCGTTACAAAAAATATTAAATTTGGAAATAGAAATTTGGTTCCGATCACGTATTGGTTCGTAAGAAGATCTGATTGAACTGCTTTAGATATCGTTCGTGCGAGCTGTCAGGTCGCGCCGGCCGCTCCGCAGGCGTTAGTGAAAGGTTGCGGCGCGATGACCCGCGACAGATATGCGCTCGCGCAGCGTCCGCCCCATGTTCCAGTGGCAAACGTTTGTTCCATTGTGAAGCCGGCAGTTTTGCCACTTATCACGACTCTCACCACGAGAAAAGTTGCTAACACCTCAAATTACTAACGAGTTTCGTAAACAACGCATTGTCCATTTGATCTAGATTTCTTTGTTGCTCGTTGTTGCATTTACTCCAGTTAAGTTATATAGTTAAGTAAGGGTTATCTCGCACGGCTTATTGTGAAACAATCCTTTTCACGTTGCGTATGTGACGCAAGATATAATCAGTAGCAAAAATACGTACTTCACAGTATTGTACATACCTGTACAGTATACATAGGTAGAGTTGGTAGCATAAACAAATACGTACCCTTACGGCATACCGGGCCTGACTTTATGGAGTGGGTTTATGAAATCTTTTTCCTGAACAGGGGAGAAGAGCTCCCAAATATTCGTAGTCATGGGTACATTGACCCCTCAAAATGCTACGTCGCCTTTACATTTTGCCAAATATGATTTACAATTGTTTAAGAAAGATTTTCACTGAGACTAGAAAATTCACGTAAATAGCCACAAGTAGCCGTGTTCATGGGAAAGATTTCCAAGTAATTGGCGGTGTTACGGTCTATTCAGATTGTCAGCTGGCGCGAGGAAATTGTAGTGTGCGGCCGATCAGCAGGGGGTGCACTGTGGACCCGTGTGCCGCGGCGCACAGCGGCCCATTCAGTGTGCACTCGACCTCACAAGCCGGGGTGTGTGTGAACCACGACTTCAATATAAAAATCAGTGTAATACCATAAAGAATTGAGTAAATCGTACCTGCTGGAAGTTACGACCATTCAATAAAAAATCAATCAACTTCGCTATAAAGCTAGGAGAAACTACTTTTACGAGACTTATCTCATATACTATGATGTTTTAAGATTTGTTGAAATCGATATTCATTGCTTTTGAAATCTCTAACAAAAGTCGTTGCATTTCAATATTGAAATATAAATTTTATTTGAGCAATAAGTTAAACTATTCAGCTGTAGAATCAACAACAGACAGCGATTCAACACAAAATGGGTAAAGGCTAAAGTTTTGTGTACAGTTACTAAAACCTTGTCGAACTGTCGTAAAGTTGGAAAGGTCTGTGATAAATGAAATAACCGAATAAAGATCGAATTGAGCCGGATATCCTAGGACGGTACGTTGCCCGCCCACGTCACATA